GTGCCTCATTAAATAAACTGTGTGCTTCGTGTCCGACTCTTATTTTCCTACACTTTTTGGACAGACCTCCGGTCTATGTGACCGACTCCTGGTCCTTTTACGGTGAGACCTTCTTGGCGAGGGAGTCGCCAAATCTGGCTGCTAACCTCATGACCGAAGTCTCTTCGCGAACTTGACCTGTGTCATCTGATGGGCTGGGTTCTACCGGGTCTTTCTAGAAGCTTCCAGCTCATACCCGGTGGGCCCAGAGGCCGTGGCCTACGATGGGCTTCCGGCTTAGCAGGCCGGGTCACTGACATTCGACCCTAACCTAGGGCATACGCGTCGTTTGCAGGCTAGCCCTAGGCCTGAACCGTCGCCCCGCCTTTTGAGGCATTAAATGCGGCGTCCCTTCACATCTTGTCACCTCCGCTTCCTCCAACGAGGCGGTGACACGTGGCCGTCGCTTGGGATTCTCCCTCCTTTAAGTAGCCACTTCTTCTCTCTTCTCACTATCTTCTCCAATCTTTCCCATCAACTTCAGCTAGAGCTTCTCCGGCCACTCTGCGTTTCCTCCGATCTCCCATCCAGTTTTAGGTAATGTCTTCTTCTTCGCACTCTTCTTCTTCTCGTCGTCACTCGGTTGACAACCCGGCGGCGACTTCGCCGTCGTCTTCTTCTTCCTCATCTTCTTCTTCTCCAATTCCCTGTCGCCTGGAAGTTCCGGCAGGTCTGCCGGCGGCGTCTTCTTCCCAACTGACCCCCTCTTCTTCGGGGGCGGCCACTCCTATGAGTCCTGCTCCTTTAACCACGGTGGCGGCTCTGCCGGACGGCGCCGGGCGGCCGCGAGGCAAATTCGATCCCATCGTCCGGCCGACCGGGCTTCCGTCGTGCGCTACGGCGACGGACCTGGACATGGCCCGTTTTTTGCTCGGTCCCTCAGCCATAGTTGTTGCCGCGGAGGGCCGTCCCATTCACAACCCACCGGAGGGTTACGTGGGCATCCACCTGCACTCAGTCGCTTTTGGCTTCCGAGTACCTCCCTGTCCGTTTCTCTCTCTCTTTTTCCGACATTATAACCTGGTTCCGGGCCAACTAGTGCCCAATTCTCACTACCTCCTCACCTGCTTCATAAACCTCTGCCGTTGGTGGAAGTGCGAGCCGATCTAGACTTGTTCCGGTATCTTTTTACCGTGAACAAGGTCGGCTCACACTCGCTGGGCTTTGTCCAAGTTGCCGCTCGTCCGGGGCGACACTCCATCAAGTACTGGTCCCGAGTCCGGACCATGGCCAAGCATGGCTTGCTGCCGGAGGGTGCGGCCACCATAGGTAGTTTTCATTACCTCCCTTTTCCCGCTTCTTTTTACTTTGTCTAATTCCGACTCAGAATACTCATGACCTTCTTTTCTTTCGCAGGTCCGTACGACTCTGACTCCACCAGTGCCGACGAGGCTGCTGTACCGACTCCTGAGATGACGGACAGAGCTGAATAGATGAGGCGTCGGCTGACCCAGCGCGCTTCCGGTACTGCTGTCGCTTCTTCCTCCCAACCGTCGCCGGCTCCCAGGTCGACTCCTCCACCACCATGTAACGTGGTCGACTTGACGCCGTCGCCCGTCGTGTCGCCGACTCGACAGCCGCCTCCTCCTCAATCTGAGAGCCCGAGCTCCAAGCGGCCGGCCGAGCAGACAGACGCGCCGGCTCCGAAGAAGATCCGGTTGTGCCACGAGGTGGACGAGGATGCCCAGATCTGGCAAGGCAACTCCTCCGTCCGCAAATGGGCTGCAAACGTCCTTCTTCCTAAGGATGTGGCGGCGACCGGTGCCATGGGGGACGAGTACATCATTGAGGCCTCGCTACGCCAATCATACCGCGTTAGTGTTTCCGACTCGCCTCTTTTTTCCGTTCCTTTTCTTTCGTTTTCTGACTTCCCGTCGCCTTGCAGAACCTCACCTTCCAAATGGAGATGAGTAGGCGACTGAGGGAGTATAAGACCGGGCTGAAGTCTATGGCCGTTCGGGTGCACCAAACCGAGGAGGCCTTCTTGGAAGAGCAAGCTAAGCACGCCAAGGCGGTGGAAGTGCATAACTCCGAGATGCTAAGGGTCACTCGTCAGTGGGAGGAGGAGCGAGACAAGGTTGCGACCATCGCCGCGACTTCGGTGGAGGACTACAAGAAGTCGGCGGCCTTCGAGGCGGACGTGAAGGCGGCGATAGAGGCCCGGCAGAAGGAGATTGCCAAAGAGTGGTTGGCGACGCCGGAAGGTGACGACTTCCTTCTGGATTTGGGCGAGCGCGACTATCGCCTTGGCTTCCGCGAGGTGCAGACAGAAATCCACTCCGCCCTGCTGATCCGCGACTCCTCTTTTACCCCCGAGGGCTGGGGCCTCAAGCCGGTGATAGACGCTCTCCCGGCGGCCGAAGGACCGGCGACGGCTGCTGATCCGGCGGCTCTCCCTGCGGCGGCTCCTCCCAATCTCACTGAGTCCTCTCCTCAGGCAGATGACCCTTCTTCTGTTCCCCCAGCTGGACCAACGGCAGGGGCACAAGTTGAAGGGGTCGATGTCGACACCCCGTCCACAGTAGCTTAGGGCTATTCTTTTAGGATAGCCCCTTTTTGTAAAGGCTGGCCTCCTTCTCGGGCCGTTTTTAATTTTAATAAAATTCCCTTTTTCTCTTTCCTTCTGCGTTGTCTTGGACTCGATGCTCTTTTAACTTCTTTAGGGTTCTGGAAATCGAAGAAATATTTCTAAGGCATTGGGCCCTTCTAACTCTGAGAGACGACTTAGGCTCAACGCCCTGTTGACTCCTTACATATTCGCCGAGTCCCTCAATCGAGGCGACTCTTCTTGGCTTTTTCACGGAAACGACTAAGGGCCTGGGCCCTTGTTTCTTAACTTTTTTCTCACCGAGTCCCTCAGTCGAGGCGACGCCTCAGGCTTTTTCTTTCTCAGAAACGTTTTAGGGTCAGTGCCCTATTGTTTCTTTATATACTCGCCGAGTCTCTCAGTCGAGGCGACTCCTCTTGGCTTTTTCACGGAAACGACTAAGGGTCTGGGCCCTTGTTTCCTAACTTTTTCTCGCCGAGTCCCTCAGTCGAGGCGACCCCTTAGGCTTTTTCTTTCTCAAAAACGTTTTAGGGTCAGTGCCCTATTGTTTCTTTATATACTCGCCGAGTCCCTCAGTCGAGGCGACTCCTCTTGGCTTTTTCACGGAAACGACTAAGGGTCTGGGCCCTTGTTTCCTAACTTTTTCTCGCCGAGTCCCTCAGTCGAGGCGACCCCTTAGGCATTTTCTTTCTCAGAAACGTTTTAGGGTCAGTACCCTATTGTTTCTTTATATACTCGCCGAGTCCCTCAGTTGAGGCGACTCCTCTTGGCTTTTTAACGGAAACGACTAAGGGTCTGGGCCCTTGTTTCCTAACTTTTTCTCGCCGAGTCCCTCAGTCGAGGCGACCCCTTAGGCTTTTTCTTTCTCAGAAACGTTTTAGGGTCAGTGCCCTATTGTTTCTTTGTATACTCGCCGAGTCCCTCATTCGAGGCGACTCCCCTTGGCTTTTTCACGGAAACGACTAAGGGTCTGGGCCCTTGTTTCCTAACTTTTTCTCGCCGAGTCCCTCAGTCGAGGCGACCCCTTAGGCTTTTTCTTTCTCAGAAATGTTTTAGGGTCAGTGCCCTATTGTTTCTTTATATACTCGCCGAGTCCCTCAGTCGAGGCGACTCCTCTTGGCTTTTTCACGGAAACGACTAAGGGTCTGGGCCCTTGTTTCCTAACTTTTTCTCGCTGAGTCTGGGCGGCAGTTATCAGTAATCCATACTCTTTTATTCAAGTCTTTCAGGACCCTTGGGCCTATACATGGCCTAACCTTTTCTACCGATAGAACTTCTTCAAGTGGATGACGTTCCAGATTCGGTATACAGGCTTGCCTTCCAGAGTTTCAAACTTGTAGGTGCCGGCCTGGACCACCGCGGCAATGCGATAGGGTCCTTCCCATTTTATCGCGAACTTGCCTCCTTCCGTGGGCTGACTCGCTCGCCGGTCTTGTAATACGAGGTCGCCGACCTGGAAGGTCCGTGGGCGAATCCTTCGATCGTGATATCTTTTTACCGCTTGTTGATACTCGACCAGCCGAGCACTCGCGGCTTCCCTCCTTTGTTCTAGGAAATTTTTCTCAATTCGAAGATTTTCTTCATTCTCCGTGTCGAAATAAGTGCGGACCCGGTGAGTGGGCTCGACTACTTCAATTGGGACCTTAGCTTCGAAGCCGTACGTGAGGGAGAATGGGCTCTCTCCGGTTGCTCGCCGCTGCGTAGTGCGATAAGCCCATAGGACTCGGTCAAGCTCATCCGTCCAATTTCCTCGGATATCTTCCAATTTCTTTCGGATTCCATCCACTATGGTCCGATTCACATTTTCGACTTGCCCGTTGGCCTGCGGGTACGCCACGGATACTTTGGTATGGCGGATATCGTGTCGGCGGCAGAAGTCAGCGAACGACTGGCAGTCGAACTGTCGTCCATTATCGCTGATAATATGCTCGGGCAAGCCGAAGCGGCAAATCACCCTCTTCCATAGGAAGCGTCGGCATTGGTACTCGGTGATGGTGGCCAACGGTTCAGCCTCAACCCACTTGGTGAAGTAATTGATGGCTATGACACAAAATTTCACGCCCCCGGGGGCTGCCGGTAACGGCCCCAACAAGTCGATTCCCCACTTAGCAAATGCGACGGCTGTGGTGACCGGCGTGTAGAAAGTAGCCGGCCGAGTGTCTTTCCTGGCGAATGCTTGGCAAACGCCACACTTGGATATCCACTCGATGCAATCTCGCATCATAGTCGGCTAATAATACCCCTGGACGACTAACTTTCGGGCGAGCGTGTGGGCGCCCTGGTGCGCGGCGCAGATGCCTCTATGAGCCTCATCCATTATTTTTTCGGCTTCGGGCCTGAGCAAGCATCTCAACAAAGGTCCTCCGAACGACCGTTTGTATAACTGCCCATCAATAATTTGGAAAGAGGGAGCTTATCGTCGAACCCTAGCGGCGACTCCCGGATCTTCCGGTAATTCGTCTGTTTCCTTGAACCGCCCTATCCAGAACATCTCAGGGTTTTTCTCTCGATCCCATTCCTTGTCTGTCACTTGCTGGACCTCTAGTGGTGTTTCCTCGATACTCGGTCGGCCCAATTCCTCCCTCTGGCAGATCTTCACGAGGTGATCCGGCACTCCCTCCAAGGCGATTTTGGATAATATGTCGGCTTCCACGTTGTCCGCCCGGGAGATATATTCTATTTCGTAGGCTCCGAATTCCTTTAACATCTCGACCGCTCGCTCTTTATATAAAGTCATCCGCGTATTCTTAGCCTCACATGTACCGGAGATCTGCTCGACCACCAACCTGGAGTCGGTCTTGATTCTCAATCGCTCGACTCCTAAGGCCTTGGCGAGTCGGAGACCATTTAGCACAGCTTCATATTCGGCCTCGTTGTTCGATGTCGGGAACAGGTAGCTTAAGGCGTAGTATAGTCGGAATCCCTCCGGGGTGATGAGCATAACTCCGCCCCCGTAGTGTCGTCGACTCGAAGCTCCGTCCGCATGCATTTCCCACCACTCGCCTAAACTGTTCTCCGTGGCGTGTTCCTTTTCTTCTTCGCTCACCGTGCACTCGACCAGGAAGTCGGCCAAGGCTTGACATTTTATGGAAGGCCGGGGCTGGTACTCAATCCCATACTGGGTTAATTCCACGGCCCATTTCACTAGTCGGCCGGACGACGAGGGGTTTTGCAGGACGCTCCCGAGCGGTTGATCAGTCAGCACTCGGACGGTGTGGGCTTGGAAGTAAGGTGCTAATTTTCGCACGGTGATCACCAACGCGTATACAATCTTCTCCAGGGCGGTATACCGCGACTCGGCGGCCTTCAGGGAGCGGTTTACGTAATAAACCGGGTGCTGAACGCGCTCTTCTTCTCGGACTAGCACCGAACTCACCGCCTTAGAGGAAGTGGCTAAGTATAAAAATAAGGGCTCGGCCGCCTGGGGAGTAGACAGTACCGGGGGTGTTGAGAGATATTGTTTCAACTCTTCGAACGACTGCTGACACTCGGTGGTCCAAGCGAATCCCTCCTTCTTTTTCATAGCCTCGAAGAAGGGCACAGTCTTATCCGCCGCCTTGCTCAGGAAGCGACTAAGAGCGGCCAGTCGACCAGTCAACCGTTGCAGGTCTATGACGGTGCTGGGAGGCTGCATGTCGACGATGGCCTGTACCTTCTCAGGGTTAGGCTCAATTCCTCGCTTGGTGACCATATAGCCCAAGAATTTTCCACCCTGCACGGCGAAAGCACACTTTTTGGGATTCAACCGGAGATTATATCTTATCATCACTTTAAAACAGTCGGCCAGATCTTCCGCATGTTTGCTCTCCTCTCGGCTCTTGACGAGCATGTCATCGACGTACGCGGCCATTGATTTTCACAGCAAGTGCTGGAATAGTCGAGCCACCAATCGCGTATATGTAGCTCCGGCATTCTTAAGCCCGAAGGGCATGACTCGATAGCAATAGACTCCGTCCGGCGTTAGAAACGCGGTCTTTTCTTCGTTTGCCGGGTGCATGAAGATCTGATGGTACCCCCTGAAGGCGTCCATGAAGCTCAGCAAGGCTGACCCTGCGGTCTCATCAACCAATTGATCAATCCGCGGTAATGGAAACGGGTCCTTAGGGCAGGCCTTATTAAGGTCGGTATAATCGAAGCACATCCGCCACGCTGGGGGCTTTGGTACAAGAACCACATTCGCCAACCACTCCGGGTACTTAACCTCTCGGACATGTCCGGCTGCTAGTAGCGTGCTTACCTCCTTTTTTAAGAATTCTCTCCGATCATTGGCCAGGTACCGCTTCTTTTGTACGACTGGTCGGTGCTCGGGGTCTATGGCGAGTCAGTGCGATATAATGGATCGATCGACACCAGGCATGTCCTCTGGACCCCAGGCGAAAACCAGCCGGTGTTCCCGGAGCACTTTTATGATTTCTTCTCTTACCTCCTGAGGGAGACCGACTCCAATTCGGACCCACCTGTCCGATTGCTCAGGATCAATCTCGACTTCTTCCAATTCAACAGCCGGCTCGGGGCGAGGTATTATTGTCTTCTTCGGGGGCCTTTCCGTGATCTCATGGACCTGCATCTCATGCTTGCCCATTCCTCGGCAGGCTTGCAGGTAGCAGTCGCGGGCGACCTTCCGGTCGCAGCGCACCGTACCTATTCCATTTGGCGTGCAGAATTTCAGGCAGAGGTGCTCGATTGAAATCAGAGCTCCTAGATCCTCCAGACCCGGTCGGCCGGGTATAGCGTTATGCGAGCAGGCCAGATTTACCACGATGAATTTCATACTGAGTTTCTGTACGTCTGGGTAACTGCCAATCTCAACTGGCAGAGTGATGGATCCTTCGGCTTCTACCGAATCCCCTGTGAAACCGGCGAGTGGAGTTTTGACGGGATTCAGCTGATCTCGGGCCAACCCCATCTTTATGAAGGTCTCCAGGTATAACACATTAACGCTGCTCCCGGTATCAACCAGGATTCGGCGAACGACTACCCCCTTGATATCCATGGCTATAACCAACGCATCTCGATGCGGCGTCTCTCCAGCCGGTAAATCTCTATCGGTGAAAATGATGGGCTCTCGGCACGCCTTTTTAGAATTCTCCTCGCGCCCATACATTGTCCCGACATACAGCTGTCGGGCCCAGGCCTTTCGAGTGTTCGCCGAGTCGCCACCTTCCGGCCCGCCGACTATCATGTTGATAACCGGCTTTTGACGCCACTGAGCCTCGTCTTCTTCAGAAGCCGGGTGCTTGCCACGATTTCTCTCGACGGCGACGGCGGGATCCTCGTCCCCTCGACTGGCCGACCTCCGCCTCCACTGATTAGGAGGCGGGGTTCCTTGCTGGATGTTACCCTCCATAATCTTCTTCAGGTAAAAGCATTCTTCTGTGTTGTGGGTATAAGATTTATGGTAACGACAATATTTAGAGGTCTTACCCGTCTCCTCGCTCATAGCGCGGTCATCAATCGGCCGAGGCGGAGGCGGGGCGACCGCTTGTATTTCATGCACCGGCCGGTAGGGATGTACGGCGGGCCTGTCGTATGGTCGCCTGACTTCGGATCGTCAGGTCGCATCCGGGCGCCTTTCCTTGGTTTCGGCTCGCGTTCTCTTTCCATTGGCCGACCCGCCGACTTCGCGCTGCCGTTTGTGTTTCATAGCCCGCTCTGTGTTGGCCCTCTTGTTGGCCATATGAATGGCCTCCGCATAGGTAGCCGGGCGGTTGTCCCGCAGATCTCGGTATAGCTGACCGGACCGCAGGGACTCGATGAAGAAGGTGAGTGCCGTCTGGTCCTCGACCTCTTCTATAGACTGGATCTCTTTCTGCCAACGGGCCATATAGGTTTTTAAGGACTCGCCTTCATCCTGGTGAATGTCGCCTAGGTGTGTCAGGTCCTTTTGTGGTCTGATATTAGCAGCATAGTGGCTCATAAAGCGGTCCGCTAGCTCTTCGAAGCTACGAATCGACCCCGGCGGCTGCACCACTAGCCACCTTTGTGCCGGGCCTTTTAATGTGGGCAGAAAAGCGTGGCACATGACCGGGTCTCGAACTCCCAAGACTTGCATCTTGGCTTGGTAGCTCAGCAAATGCTCCCGAGGGTCGCCGGACCCATTGAACGTAGCTTGCTCCGGGAACTTGAAATCACCCGGTATCTTAAAGGCCATGACCTCGTCCGAAAAGGGCAAGGCGTTTAATAAGGTACGTCCCGGGGATTTGGTTTTTCCCTCCATCTGCTCTTTCAGATTTCGCACTTCTTGAACTAAATTCGCCACTTCGACCCTTTCCCGAGTATGGTTTCCTGTTGATTCCGTGCTCTCACCGACCTCCGACTCGGCCGGTTGGTCGCGGTTGCGGACGAGCTGCTCTATGCGGCGAGCCTCAGTCCTTGTTCTTCTGGTACGGTTTTTCTCGCGTGCAGTCTGCCGATCGCGAGCAGCTGATGGGGCGCGACTGGGTTCCCTCCGACCTAGCCGTTCTCTCGCCGACCGCCGTACGGCGCTCGGACCCAGCCGAGAATGAATGGACTGTACTGGCTGGCTCTCGGCCCGGCGGTTCTGTTGCCGGTCATCGGGCCTATGAGACGGCTGCTGATTGCGTTGCGGTAAACGAGTGATAGACTGTTCTCTTACTCCTCGGCTCTCCTCGGCGAAGGCACGCCCGATCGCATGTAGTTGCTCTGGGGTGAGCTGCACCTGAGGCGGCTGTTGATTTATCGGTGGTGTTGGCGGCGGTGTTGTCTCGTTTTCCCCGCTTCGAGTGTTTCTCCGATTCAATTGGTTTCTTAAGTCCGCCCCCAGTCTATCATCGTGTCGGCTTAACTGTTCCTGACTTCTTGCCATGTTAGGAGCTTTTTTGATCTCTTACGACCGAGATTCTTCCTGTCGTTTCTCGAACTCGCCTCGCTCAGTAGGGTACGCGACTCTTAGTTTCAATCCCCACAGACGGCGCCAGTGATGGTTTTTGGGTTTTCAGGCCCAAGGAGGTCCAACACAACCTTTAGCTGGAGGATACACCTTTCAATAAAATGTGTATTTGAGTGAAACGAAGTACTTGTTTAGAATTTCTCTTCTTCCCTCTCCGGGTCTTTTTTTCTGTGTCTTTCACAAGAGCGGAGGAGCCTTTATATAGCAAGCTCCTCCCCCACTGACTCGAAGGCCCTTAATGGCCGACTTCAAAGCAAACTAAAGCGCCAAGCCGTTGGACGTCATTACTAAGTCGGCCAACGGCTCTCTCAAGCTTGTAACAGCCTGACCGAGTCCTGCTTTTAATGCCCTAACGGCTCCTTTTTAAACGAGTCTCTTCAATGCTCTCAACGGCTCCCTGAACCGAGTCTTTTCTCGGGCTTGGGCCCCGGTCGACTCCTCGTCTCGGCCCAAGTTCCCACTGGGTTTCTCTTAGCAGTTCTGAGCTAGATCCCCATGCTTGGGATTGGGCCGACTCCTAGACTCGGCCCAAGCGCCCTCCGGGCTTCTTTTGACGCTAACCCATCTTTCCTATCTCGGACCCTCTTCTTTGGGCTAATCTCTCTTGGGCCGGGGTCCTTACCCCATCAATATATATATATATATATATATATATATATATATATATATATATATATATATATATATATATATATATATATATATATATATATATGTAGGGAAGGGAATGGATCAAGTGCGGCTATAGTTTTTCGTGCGGTTGACGCACCTTAAGCATTAAAATGACACAACTTAAGTACACAAACCACACGCATCTTAAGTACACAAACAAAGCACCTTAAGAACACAATCCACGCACTTAAGGTCTTAAAATGGTGCACCTTAAGTTTCTACAACTCAGGCACCATAAGAAGGAAAACAACGCACCTTAAGAAAGAAAACCACACACCTTAAACTTAAGATTGACGCACATTAAGTTTCAAAAACTACTCACATTAAGCACAAAACTCACGCACATTAAGCACAAAACCCACGCACCGTAAGTTTCAGCAACTACTCACATTAAACACAAAATACACGCACCTTAAGCAAAAAAACCACATACCTTAAGAAGTAAAACCAACGCACCTTAAGTTTCAACAAATACTCACATTAAGCACAAAGCTCACACACCTTAAGCACAAAACCCACGCACCTTAAGCACAAAACCCACGTAGCTTAAGAAGGAAAAAACCATGCACCTTAAGAAGGAAAACCACGCAACTTAAATTTGACCTAGATGCAATAATTACCAAATTGTCACCACATTTTTTTTTTAACCGCACAACCGCACCTGGGCGCACCAACCGCATTTGAACCTAATATATATATATATATATATATATATATATATATATATATATATATATATATATATATATGTATATGTATATGTATGTATACAAAGCAATGTGCACTGTAAGGCATATCACTCTGCTCTGGAAGCCATAACAATATGCTCTCCAAGAAGGGAAAAAATGCCCTGAAAGACAACAAAATTAACTAGCATACATAAAATTATCATAACGCCATCACATTTTTTTTTTAAAATTGCTTTATTCTTACCTTTGATCTGGACTAAATCAATGGATGACATTAAACCATATTTTTTACCTAATGCTTCTTTCGCACATGATCCGTTATATATATATATATATATATATATATATATATATATATATATA